TCCCCTCCTCCTTCCCCTCCCCTTCCCCAAAGTCTTTATTCTAATATTCTTTACCTGGAAGTTCAAATCGGGAAGCATCCTACTAAAGAACCTTAGAGGCTATAGCACAGGGCTAACCCCGGACTGCTGGGGTTCCTCAGTTCTAACTCTCACTCCAGGTCTGTAGGCTTTCTGAAAATATAGATTAAACCCCACAACTCTGGAATCTCTATATGCCATCCAGGGGCCAAGCCAACTCCCTAGAGACCTGTACACATCTAGATGCCCTGTCCACCAATGGGATTCCCAGATGGAGCTCACCTCAGCATGCTGCTCTCCCTGTATCAGTCACTGCCACAACAGAGGGGCCGTTGTTGGATGGATGTCAGCTCCACCTTAATGTGCACCCTTTGAAAAGCCCATGGGAGACACTTCTGTCCTCAAACATTGCTCCACACTGCCATCACCTGGGGGTCATTTCAACAACTTTAGCACCCCACCTCTGAAATTCAGGTGCATCCAGAGAAGGATGTAGTGTGAGCACTTAAAATGTTCACGTTTCCCTAATGTGTCTTCAGACACATGAGCAAATCTGGAAGCCACTTCCACAGACTTAGAGGAGCTGTGTCTGAGTAGTTATGTGTGGACGACTGATACCACGCTACACCTGCCGGTCACTACATCCCTAAAGCTCTCACTTCATTGCCTTTCCTCCCTCCCTTCCATTCCTCTTCTCTCCCTTCTCCTGCCCCTCTCTCCCCCGCCCCGCCCCCCCCTTCTCTCTCTCCCTCCCTCCCTCCCTCCCTCCCTCCCTCCCTCCTTCCCTCCCTCCCTCCCTCCGTCCTTCTCTCTCTCTCTCTCTCTCTCTCTCTCTCTCTCTCTCTCTCTCTCTTAGTTTTTTGAGACAGGGTTTCTCTGTGTAGTTCTGGCTGTCCTGAAACTCACTCTGTAGACCAGACTGGCCTCAAACTCAGAAATCTGCCTGCCTCTTCTGTCTTTCTCTTTCATCTGCTTGTTTTCAATAAAAAAATGACAGGTTGGATATCTCTTATTCAAAATGCTGGAACCAAATTTTTACTTTTTTTTTCCATTTTTTAGACTTTTTGTATACACAGTGAATGAGATATCTTGGGGAATGAGTCCAAAATCTGAAAGCAAAACTCACTTATGTTTCACACGTATCCTGTACACACATGGCCTTAAAGTAATTTTACACATTGTTGATCTAACTGCCCCGGTACATGACATCACACTGAAGGTCAAAGTTTTCAGACTAGGAAGTATTCTCAGTTTCAGAATTTTATATTAGAAATACTCAACCTGATTAAAAGTAGTAAAATTTATCCTATAAAATATATAAAATATTAAAATGATGTAATTTTAGAAGTCTGTAAAATAAAATGTAAGGTCTCCTACCTTACCACAATCTTAAAACAATCCAAATTCCCACTCTTTTAAAAAAAACAATTCTGTGTATCCTTTCAGAAATTTAAGGCAAAACCTACTACGTGTATCTACCATTCCACTGAAGAATTTCCCCGAGTCTGCAGAGAGCCCAACTACCATCTCTGCCTCTTGTAGGATCTTTGAACATTGTATTATATCTGCATATTTGACCTAAAAGACATTCTTTTTCTTCTAAGAATAGAATCAGGCATGGTTTTATTCATACTCAGAATTCACTCCAGAATAACATGAGAATACCCAGGCTGGAGAAACAAATCCTTACGTTGACTCTGCAGCCCCGTTTCATTTTCTAGCAACTTCTGTCAGAAAGAAAAGTCTCTGGTGTGTTAGCTTAAGAGTCTTTAGATACACAGCCCAGAAAGGTATCACAAAAACATACATGAAACCCCGTGTCTGTTACAGCACTTTCCACAAGAGCCATTTTGTTGTTGTTTGTGTTTGTTTGTTTGTTTGTTTGTTGTCTTTTGGGTTTTGTTTTGAAACAAGGTTTCTCTATGTAGGCCTGGCTGTGCTGGGACTCAATCTGTAGAGGAGGTTAGCTTTGAACTCAGAGTTCACCTGCCTTTGCCTCCCAAGTGCTGGGATTAAAGGTGTGGGCTACCACCGCTCAGCTCACAACAGCCAATTTACAGGATCAGCCTATGCCCATTGGATGAATGGATACAGAAAATGTGACACACATGCTTACAACAGAGCTCTCATTAGCTGTTTGCAGAAAATGAACATAATTGGAAATCATCATACCAAAGTAAATCAGACTCAAAGAGACATATATCATGCATTCTCTCATATAAATTATATATATATATATATATATATATATATATATATATATATATATATATATATAAAATTTTTATTGTGTTGTATATTTATTTTAGACAGGTATCTATTAAATATGTATTAGATAACATATATTAGAATATCATATATTATAATATACATATAATATATGTTATAGTATCATTTCTGTTGATATGATCAAATATCTTGACAGAAAGCAGCTTATGGAAGAAAGGATTTATCTAACTTAGAATTCCAGGTTACAACTGATCATCGAGGGAAGTCAAGTCAGGAATTTGAGTAGCTAATCACACCAC